GCGGCACAGGCGGAGGTACAGCATTTTCAGGCTCAAAACGTGGAGGAACAGGAGGTGGAGGTGGTGAAAGTGGCACACCACTATCTACTGACACTTGACTTTCTGTCACAGAATCTAAACAAGTTCTTGCTGAATCTATTTCTTGTTGGGCTGAATCTAATTCCTGTTCAAGAGATTGGTATATTGGATTGGGAGACACAGTCGGTTCTGTTAAAGAACCCACAGATGACCTACTGTCAGATAGCGACTCTTGTTCAGTTTTTGCAACACTTGGAGCTAAACTTTGGTTCTCTAAATGAAGTGTAACTAATTCACCAAGCTGTGCATGAAATTCCTCTCCATCGAAAACTTGATCACCAGGTTGTAAGTAAGTTTCAAAGGCACTGTCTTCTAGCTCTGAATCTACAGTAGACTGGCTGTCGTAAAGTTTCTTCCGTGACAAGTTTTCTGATGACACTAACTGCATGTAAGGATTGTGTGAGTTTTGTACTTGTATGAAAAATTTCGCCTGAGAGCTACCTGGGCTCGTCAACCCTCTCTTTAGTGACATGTAATAAGATATCTGTGCAGCTCTTGGATCATCAGAATTCCCAATATATCGAGGAATTTTTGACGGGGATTTACCACTCGATGTTCTTTTTATTTGTATCTCAGCCGGTTGATCGGATATTATTGTTCCAGTATCATTGCTGTCTTCAACTGTTTCTTGTGCCAGCTCATCTGGTGACATGGGTGTCAGTGTGGTATTTAGTGAGCTTGAGGAGTCCACTAGAGTTGGACTCCTAACATCCTCATTTTGAAAGGATTGAAAGCCAGATTCTCCTTGATCTGTTTCAGACTCCAAAACATAATAGTCACCACACTGTGACTGAACCTCAGCAAGTTCGCTAGACAATCTAACCACTTGATCTGGTCAAGAAAAGAAATGAAAAGCATCACAAAATTAGCAACACTGCTAAATCTGAGACTGTTGATATTTAAAGGTAAGTTAATAATAATTATAATTATAAATTCTGATGTTTTTTGTTGCTGGATGGAAGACTTTGCAATCCAGCAGCTTTGCCAGCTTACAAATCCTAATTTATTATTAATAAACTTTCCAAACTTTCAACCTACCATTAATTCTTGTACTAAAACATCAATGCCCTAAAAAATGGCAATCTTGTTAATTTCATCACAACTTTTCACTTTCCTTCCAATTCTTGTGATCAACAAGATCAAACTGCAGGTTTCTGCAGCTACAATTATTTTCCCAGAGAACCTTGAGGATCTTACCTTGGGAAAAATGAAGCTTGATCTCAATCTCTTTGATCAGCTCCATAGCTTGTTTATGTGAAGTCCGCAGCTGCTCATTCTCTTTGGTAAGTTCTTGTAGCTTGTCTTCATACTGTTGGAAATAAATGTAAAACCCTGCATTCATCCAATTTTTTTTCTTCTTTCTTCATATTGCATCAAAAACGAACCATATAGTAAATAAATAAAGAACTAGTTAGAGAGGCTCTTCGTCCACTGTTTTCAAATACAGTTGCAACTTTCAAGCATTATTTTGCTCTTGTGCAGTCGGGAAGGAAACCAGAGAACCATAAAAATAAAATCTTGAAGCAAGGCTGAGTAATAACAACAAACTTGACCCACACATGACGCTGGGGCCGGTATTCAAACCCTGACCACACTGGCAAGAAGCAAGCACACTCACCACTGCACCACCCCTGCCCCCCTGTGACAAAACAAAATCATAACCCAGAAACCTACACTTCAAGGCTCAAACCCTATGTTTCACTCCGCAGCCTAGAATTATGCCAACCATAAGGCCAGTGACCCCATCCCTACCAACCTCCCCCTCCCACATATACAAACACTAAACAAACATTATTAAAATTCAAATACCGACAAAGTGCTATACCTCGGAAATCTTGTTATGCATCCAGTTTTTGATATGAGCAGCTTTATCTTCAACTTCTCTTTCACGAACGATTCGCCTTTGTTTCTGTCCAAGATTAAAACGAGATGGGTGGCTTAAAATTTGTCCAATTTGTAAACAAGAATTTTAAATCATAGATATATATCAATTAATTACTGTATGAGAGAAAATAATCAGCAACAACATACCTCGCTTTCAAGTTCAGTCTCTAAATGTGCAACTGTTTGATCTTTCACTGCAAGCAAAGTCTCCAAACGCTGGACCTGAAATCAATAAACATTACACCATGTCACACTGATAACCAGGTATAGGACATACATGTAGCTACAGAGATACTCAAAAGCTGGAGCCCAGAATCTTATGAAGATCTGATCTCTCCTACAGGGGCAGGACCACCTGAGGTCCTCACTTAGATCTCCTTAATATAACATTTACTAAAATACTCATTAATTAATACCTTCTCTCTGCCTATTTACAATAAAGTCAAGTACATACATGAACAGATAACAGCTGAGAATTTAGTAACAACTAAATTTTGTTGTGTAAATAAAACGACTTCTTCTTATCTGTGCTGAGCCACAATTTCACTCGAACTTAGACCAACAATGAATAGGCAGTCCGACTATGCGGGTAAAATTTTGGATTCATTGTCACAGATAAGGATAACATTATGAGTCTTATTTTATTACTTATTATTAGAAGTATTATTATACATGTAAATGAGAAACCTGTTCTACAATATCTGTGTGTGGTGGACATTAGGTCAAAGTGAAATCAAATAGGATGATTTTTGAAATAAGAACTTGTTTTTGAAATGAGAGCTTGTTCATCGCTTAAATGTTAGGGTTAATCAATTTAAACACAGTTATTGTACATGCAAATTATTAGTACCTGCTGAGCAGTTTCTGCAGCTCTTGCGTTAGCATTTCTTGACTGTTCTTCCAAGTCTTTTAACTTTGTAAAACAAAATCAAACATAAATTATTATATTTGAGTTTCACATTTGGGGATTTTACGATCGCATGAGTATGAATTTTCAGTTTGAATTAAAATCAGGCAAGTTGCTAAATATACACAGCAGCTTCCAGTTAGCATAAATTAGCAATTTGGTTAGTCTGATTAGGTCTCCAATACCTGATTAGCACTCCTGATCAGTTAGCCTAAGAATGCATGCTTAGCTATCATTTGTCTGTCTTGAATTTTCAACCCTATCTCAAACTTGAAATCCAAACTCATGAAAAAAAATTAACTAAATAACAATGTTGTTGCAAAACTGCCAGGGTGCATTCAGCATAGGTTACGCCAAAGATCTTCCACATGACCTTTAAAATTTTGTGGCGCACCAGTGTGCGATTGGAGTTTTCGGCATATAGCGGTGTGCACATTTATATTTGCTGGTGCTGCTATATAAATGTTTGACTACACAAGGCGAATTGGTGTGATAACTATGGCTTCTTAATTTCTCTTTATGCCCCATATCCTGGCCAGTAATGGGCATCTTATACAATCCATTTTAGTCCAAATTTTTCCACCCACGTTGGGTGGCGTTTTTAAAATAGCAGTCTTCAGCATGGGACTTTAGCCACTTGCCAGGCACGTGACATGGAATTTAAAAAGCCTTGGCGTATCTTCAGTGTTGAAGATCTTTGGAAGACCTGAAGACCACAGCACATTTAAGGTAAGTCTTGTATAGGTTTACTTTGTAAATACATGTAGTCTATTTTCAACAGTATTTTAAACAATTATAAAGTTTTGCAAATTGGAGTCACCCCACAACCTTGTGTAATTTTGTCAGCCTTTGAAAAACTTCTTTGGACTAATTCATTTGAAACTGCACTCAAAATCATGTGATTACCTAAACAAAGTCATTTAATCATTTTTGAAATACAACTTTTCTGGTGATATTTAGGGCCACACACCCTTGCCCTAACCCCCTGAAAAAATGTCCCCGGTGATATTTGCTCAAAGCACTATCTCAAGGGTTTATTTTCAGAAGTTTTAAGTATCGCAACAAACTTAAAGAAAGTACATGACCTATATCTTAAGGCAAGCCTATACAGGTTTTTAAACACCATTAGTCACTCAACTGAAAAAGAAGGTCAATATCACATGTAACTGGATCAATTTTAATGACAAAAGTTTAAAATGAGATTCAAAAATGACAAAATCGCAAGTCAAATGATCACCTGAATCTATTTTTCCAAAAGATGATAGATAGGTGAGTCATGTTTATGGAAATAAAATTTTAATATCACATGTAGTAGGCCATATTTTGATAGTTGTCGCTGGAACAGATACATTGTGGTACAAAATTAAACAGTGATATTGACTTCTAAAACTCTCATTTTAGGAGATGTCAACCGAGACAAATTTATGGTTTGGCATACATGTAAATATATAGACAGTCCAACATCTAACTTGATTTTCATCACAAAATTTATCTTCAAATAAGGAATTACTAAACCATGAATTTCCTGCATGTGCATTCCTCTGACAAGAACATACATGAATACTGTAAGCTACAACTTGCTAAAAACAATATTGATTCTGTCATTTTCGTCAACAATATTAGTTCCAGAAGAAGAAGCCCTGTAGAAAATACTCTCAGAAATATTTTTTGTTCAAAAATGTTGAGTGCTCGCTCATCATCTATCAATTAATTCGTGAGTTTTCGACAAGTCGTCAATGTGGTTTCCTTGATTCCAAATGAGAGGAAAAAAATCTTCGCTTCCTTGAACTTTTTGACTGGGAGAAATACAACATCTGGAAACCTGTTGAATTACTGTTTTAAGAGCAAACACACTTTCAGACTATTAATTTTTAAACAGCTGATCGTCCGAATTAATTAAAATTTACAATGCAAGAATTTCGATGATCCACTCAAAGCAATTTCTAGTCCGTGTGTATAAGTCAAAATGCAAAGAGTTAGATCGCGATATCGAAACTCCTTCGACTGACTTGCCCAAAATTTCGAGTTTCTTCGAAAATGAAACTGATGAATCGAATCAAGTCGAAGAAATCTCAAATTTCAAGTTGTCGAAATGGCGGTTGATTTTACTGTTTACGCTATCGGTGTTAACACTACACTAATGTAATTTTAAGCTTACTTTACTGCCACAAAAACGTTCAAAAGTTATGTCTTTTTAAATGAAGGTTTGGAAGGTGATTAGGAGTGCAAACTTCAGAAAATCCGGCGGGTCGATTCATATCAGTCGCCGAACACAATTTGAAAACAAACATTCCGACATACACTTGATTTGTAACCCAGGATCGGCTGAAGATTTCTTCTGAGATAACTTCAACATTATACGAAACCGCGAAGAATACAGTGAAACAATAACAATGAAACAAATAAGATAGACTTGCACGGATACGATTCAGCAAATTCAATCGCAGCATGCCCAGAGCGACAACAGAACACATAACATTCAAGACTGTTCCTCACCTTGTGACCAATAACTTCGCGGACTTTCGCCGCTTGCTCCCGAAATTTCTCGAGTTGATTTTCCAAATATTTACATCTTTGTTTGTAGTCAATCTCATTTTCGCCGACCTCTGTAGAGTATACTTGTGGTCCGTTACTTCTTGGCGAATTATCCATCCTTCGCAAAGATTCAAAACCAGAAATGGTGGTCGGACAACATTTAGTAAATTTTCCTGGGCGCGATCGTTCTCTTTTACCATAAACTTGCACTAATGACTAAACCTTCCTTTTTCCAAGTCCGTTTTAAATCCTCTTTCAATGATGAGAATGTTAAGCATTTTGTTTGCACGTCAAAATGATGGACAAACGGAACTATACAACGCTTCACACCGCGGTTTATCAGTTCCGAATACAACATCCAAAAGTGTGCTGACTTCTTGACCCAGCTCCAGTCGGACTGTGATGTCATCGTACCATCTTCGGCGTGACACATTACAAAATGTCTTAATCTTTTAACAACCTTCCATAACAAACGAAGGTATTCTTTTGAGACAAAAGAAAGAGCTGCACCTATAAATACCGCTACAATAGACCAAAAAAGCAAAAATTAGAAGTTAAAAAACCCACAAAACTGTAGGTTGGTCAAGTCACGAACTTTTACGAAGATCACACGACTGTTTACAGACGTCAAATTGCAAACCGGTGACTTCGGTGATAGCGTTACTTCCGGTTTTGTGGGCGTATATACCAAAGAATATCCAAGGCGTTAGGTTGTTCCGCAGAGGCGGCATTGTGCTTGCGGCTTCGCATAATTTGGATCAGACACTCGCTTGAGTGTACGTGATCGCGACCTTGTGAAAGGCAGCCATTTGATAACTTCGGTAAAAGCCATTTCCGCCAATTAAGTGCCATTTTCATGCAAGGTGCTGTCGAAAACTCTCGAAAGTGAACTGACCCGGGGAAAGATCGACCGGCACTGTTGAATCCCTTTGTTTAACTAAAAACAAAATGTTTGCAGTTAGAATTTAATTTCTCTTTTCCATCAATAAATGAGGGTTTTAAAGCAAGGCTTTTCTATATCATTAGCAGATTTCATACAAATTCACTGTAAATCAACGCAATGATTTTGATCTTTCAAGCAGTTGTTCGGTACTTCCTTCTCAATTTAAAGTTACTTAAATCCTTTTGAGTAGACATTATCCGGTAAATCCTTGCCCACCAGCCAACTGTCTGCCGGACTGCAAAGACCTCAAATGTACCAGGGACCACCCAGAAGTAAAATAATCTTATCTAATTTTCACAATGTAACGGTAAGTGGATGCGCTAAGGAAGAAAACTATTATTTCCTACCTATATACATATACATTTAAAAAGAATTTTTTTTAAATAATGAAATCAAACAATAACTTTTTTTATCACTTGATTACAGCACATTGTGTATATTTTTGATAATTTATTCCACCACAGTCACTAACCCACAAATATCTCCCAAGACTTCGCGATGATAATTTAGAAAATCGCGGTGTTTGCACAGTTTATTTAGTTTCTTTTATTAATTAATATTTTAATATTGATATTTCCTATTTTCAGTATTTTGTTTCTCCTGGTTACAAATTCTTGAATCAAGAGCAAATTATCGAAGAAAACATCAGGATTTAATGGTCACCAAGTGGACATCATGGCGCCACTTTGACCAGTCTTTTTATTAAGGTTACAGTATACCTTCGGGTCGGCAATTTTTTTCAAATTTGGATTTTTGGGTCAAAATAGTGGTCGAAGAATAATCTCTAATTTCTGAA